GTGATGATTCAGCGTGTTTAAAAAAGCCGTCAAAATCCGGTTCAGAAGTGAGCTCTGAAACAATCTGGCCACAAGCACGATCAATTACTGAAAATCAGGCTCGTACAATTTGTAAAACACATATCGACAAGTTTCTTGGCAAAAGCCGTAAAGCACCACATATGCGTAGCATAAATACAAACGATACCATTTCAGTTGTCATGGATGCATGTGTGCAAGATTTGTTGCTAACCGGCGTACCAGAAGTCAGTAAAAGAACGATAAACTCTAAAAGTTTAATATAGCTTTAAATTAGATGGCGCGCAGTAGTACTGATGTACTAATGATCGAAGAACTCACTGCTAACGTTACATCGGTCGGTTCGATAAAAGAAGTAATAGAAACTGGTATACAGCAGGCTATAGTTACCTATAATCAAGCTGTTGAAGAAGCCGCAGTCGAAATTCCACAAATACTCGGACTATCAACTACTACAATACAAGCAAGATAAATATGTATTCATACTATTAAGTAATTCTTGTTTGTTTTTAGACCACACCAGTTGCAACCACCAGTAGTTCCACCCTTACAACAACAACAACTTCTCTAGGTGAGTGTTAGGCACACCCTGAAAGTTCCAGTAGAAACTGATAGCACGCTCACACTATAAGAAATGTCGTAGATATGATGGATACAGTAGTTACATAGGCCAAAGGAAAAACAATTGATTCAGGCCAGCATGAAAACAGTCGACTTTAAGACTACAAGAAACTTATCTATTCCGATGAAATCTTAGAAAATACATAGGATCCGTTTAAAAATAAGAAAATGTAATTCAGAGTAAAAGCCTCCTTGACAGTCCATTCTTTGCTATAGAAATGGACTGGAAGATAATGCAGGAAGCAATCCGTATCTGATACAGTCCACATTAGCTAGGTATTTCCTTTCACTCTCTAACTGTGAATTAGCCTGAAAAAATGATAACTTATTGCTAATTATCAAGCATTGCTAATTAGCCAAAAAATATTATTGACTTTTCAATCAACTGATACGGTTGATGTCAAAAGTCTCACATCACTTTGTATCTTCAAGGCGTATATGAAAATGACACAACATTAATTGAATATGATCATATGCCTATAAAGCAGACATTAGGTTCTATATCTATATATCTGTTTAATACAAGAAACAATTGAACATAAAATAAAATAAATAAGCAAAAACTTTAGTACTAATATAAATAGTACTAAAAGACAAATTAGTATCGTCGTTACAAGTCTTATTAGTTCCATTACATAGGCTAGGTTCACTACGAACAATCAAATAAATATTTAAAAACATATATTAGAGTATATTACAGGCATGCTATTTACTTGTAGCTTCTTATTTGCATCTTTCTAATTTACAAAGAGCAAAGGAAATTTTAATGGGTTGTGTTCAGTGTACTTGACAGTTAGCCTGAATGTTGTATTAGACAGAGCGAAAATGAACAATGCATCAAAAATAAGAGCAACATTTCAATATTGAGGGACGTTAGGAATTAATATGGATAATAGGTATGTCTACTAAAGCAGCAAAATGTATCAGTTCAATAGACAATCTATGATCCCATGGATGGAAAACTAAGGAGGACAACTTTTAGTACCCACTAAAAAAACGCTTACTCAGAGATATGAAACATGAATAGGATACTACAAAAGAAGAAAGCACCAGAAGTCTTATAGTCTTTTTAGTATTACAGTCAACAAGTTATGTATAAAGATGGCTCATTTTCATAAAACTATTGTCATTCTAGATAAACTGATAAGAACAATATCATGCTGTCCTTTTTATGTCATTTTTTGTTAGAGCTGAAGCTTTTATGCATGTATTGCAATTTCAATTCAAGCGTTTCTTACACTATAAGAGTATAGTTATACATTATGCATAGAACTTGAGCTCTGTTGTATAGGTATATAATCATTTAAAATTAATGTTCTGTAATTTTAACACACGCCACAAAAATACTCAGTGATACTAGGCATTAGACGGTGATTTTATTCAATATTGGTCGTCTATTGTTATCAATTAATTCTTGATTTTTTACTAATTAAGAAGTATTCAGAATAATGCAGAGTGTCCCAAAAGTCAGCAGAAAAAAGCTTGTTACCACAGCCCCTTTGGGGCTGAAATATGGAACTCACATATCTTCTTTACTTTCACTGTGCTGATGGCAAAATATATAATGTTTAAATTCTCTCAAAGACAATAATGCTTTTCTAATGATAATTGATTGTCAGCAAATGTCGTCTTTTTTTATTTATGTACTTTGAGTAAAATTTTTTTTTGTGAAGTTGCTATAGTCTGTAATGGAGGGTTGTCTGTAGTGGGGGCCTGTCTGCAATGGGAGGTATGTCTGTAATGTTCTCTTTCGTTGCTATGGTCTGTAATGGGAGCCTGTCTGTAAGAGGATGGGGGAGGGGTGGCGGGAGCCGCGAAACCTCGAACTTAAAACTTACACTCACTATTTTCTTCGAAAATATATGTGAGTTTCACAAAAGTAAATTCATAAAGGTCCACTATTTATCAAGCTTTATCAACTAAGTTTTTTTTTTCACATGACAGATATAACTGTAAAGTTTTCATTTGTACGGACGAATTTCACAGATACTGTTCAAAGTTATCACTTTCGATTAAAATACAAAAAGCAGTCTTTTTTTGACTTCAGAAAAAAATACTTCGCAGTGTTTCTCTTTCAACGCTTTAACCTAAGTCCTTTTTATGGCGTTTATACCTACCACACCTAGCTCTATTGGTGATATGAATTTGAGCTGATGGGTCACTACGAAAAATACCTAATTGTGTCAAATTCGATGATCATGATATCCGTAAGGCCGCTTTTACGTTGGGTGTGGATGTTGATTTGAATAATGAGAGAACCAACACTCCAGATCCATATCCAAACTCATATCTCGCCCACACACACCCATACTCATATATAGATTTATGTTTTAAATATATTTATTTTGCGAGTAAAAGCGGATATGCGTTAATGAATATTTTAAGGCTAAATATCCAGTCAAACAGACGCGTCAGTTTTTGTACTAATTTTGTACAAAAAGGTAACAAACTACTCAACTTTTTGGCAAATTATTTTTCATCATATTTTTTCAGGAAAACGCGAGATATTTGCTCATTTTGAAGCTAAATCTTCAGTTTTTGAGGTCTTTTCATTTCTCCTTTTCTTTGTCACAAACATTTTATGGCCCTTTGGCTTTCAAAAAAAGCATGAAGTTTTGCTTCAAAAATGAGCAAAAGCTCTAGTTTTCGTGAAAAACTACGGTGAACAATAGCATACAAAAAAAGCTGAGTAGTTTGTTTCCTTTTTGTACAAAATTAATACAAAACTGGCATATCTGTTTGACTGATGATAAACACTAATCTATTGATGACAGCATAATTTTCATTTGATTCTGAACTTTATCATTTGAAAAAAAATCTATAGAAATCGTTACATTAGATTTTGCAATGTAAGTCAGAGTTGTGGTGAGCAGCAAGGAGAAATTAAGATTTCTTGTCTCATTTCTTTGAGACTTTTACTTCTTCACATGGAAACTGTAGGAAATTCTGAATGATGCGTATGAAAATAACTTCCGCTAAAGGTATCGATTTCTCCAGCCCTAATATATATCCAACAATCCTATCAAAACTGAATAGTGTTTTATCACCTCTCTGATTATCACTGTCATATTTATCGTTCATATTTCTGATGAAGTTCCGGATTATTGTTTTTCTTATTTTCAGAATATTAAAGTCAGGCGAACCTTCTCTTTCGAAAACAGAAGCCTCAAAAATTTTTTACACTCAAATCTTTCTACTAATCTAGTAAATTAACCTTCAATTCCTGAATATATGATCATCAACATTTTCAATCCCAAAGTCAAGAAGACTTTTAAGTTACAGAAGCAGCTTCACAAAATGTTTTGCCGTAGTACTTTCAAAGAATTGCATTGTCAAACTTCTTTTGACTTTCTTTTCAAAAAACTTCTTTATAATAAACTTGAAAATAAAAAATGGTATTTGTAACTGTCTGCCTATATTCGATCAATCCATAGGAGAATAGAATATTTTATGGTTTGTTTTATCCAGTGATAGATGTCATCAACTCAATATAAATACAAATGATATCTTAAAGAATAGCCATACTTTTGCTGGTACTATTAATATTATTGCAACAAATTTCAGACACATCCACATTGTGCAAGAAGACATTGATTTGATAAAACTTAATAGGGAAGAT